CTTAATCCTAAACCCTAAATCCTAAACCCTAAACCTCACTCACCTGGAGCCTATCTCAGACTCCGAGGCTCAAGAAAAGGTGCTACAGATGAAGCAAAAGGTGCCTCCGGCGAGAGCTTGAGAGATTATAGGGGCTATATAGGGGTTATAGGTTTAGGGTTTAAGGTGTTATATGAGCTATAGTCTAAACTCCTTAAGAGGGCTTATGTTGGGGATCATATAGGGCACGACTATAGGGGATATTAAGGGGGATACTAGGAGTTTAGACTATAGCTCATATGGGGTTTGGGTTCTTTTGGTTTTGGGTTTAGGGCTTAGGGCTTAGGGTTTAGGGCTCGAGTTATATACTACAGGGATTATAGGGGCTATATAGGGGTCATATAGGGATTACAGGGAATATATTGGCTCATGGGACTCAGAAAACTTTGGGGTTTAGGGTTTTGAGCTTAGGGTTTAAGGTGTAGAGTTTAGGGTTTAGGGTTTGGAGAGTCATGAGCTATAGTCTAAACTCCTTAAAGGGGGGGTTCTATAGGGGATTATTTAGGGGAGCATTGTAGGAGTTAGTAAGGGGGATGCTAGGGTTTAGGAGAGTTCATCCCTGAGGAGAAGAGTTAGGGTTTTGTAGGCCATGGCAGACTCTCTTATTCCAGGCTCACGATGTGGAGTTTCAGTAAATAAGGGCCCCAATCAGTATAGAAACTTTGTCCGACCACCCTAAACCCTAAACCCCCAAATCCTAAGCCCTTAAACCCTAAACCCCTAAACCCTTAAACCTTATTCCCTGACAAACCCCATGCGTGGCAGGTAACCGCCTTCTCCGAAGTCGTGCATGCAGCCAGTTCCTCCATGGATAGCCTCCTAGGCCAGCAGTGGCTCTTCAAGGCGGACTTCAGGGTTTTTTTAGGGTTTTTTAGGGTGTTTAGGGTGTTTAGTGTGTTTAGGGTTTTGAGGGTGTTTAGGGTGTTTTGGGTTTAGGGTGTTTAGTGTGTTTAGGGTGTTTAGGGTTTAGTGTGGTTAGGGTTTAGCAACACAGCTCCTCCGGAATTTAGGTTCAGGGTCTTGGGATTTAGGCCTTAGGCTTTGGGCATGAGGGCTTGGGTTTTGGGGGTCCAGTAGATTATCGCAGGGGTACATAGCAAGCAGGATTTTCAACCCACCGTGCCTTGGTGTGTGCTTAGGCTTCATGACGAGTGCCGGTGAGTGCATTATGTGTGGGGCGTCATTTCTGGGGGCAATATGTTCATAATATCTAGCATAATATAGGTGTAAGTATACATATGGCAGTTTTGCAAGAGAGGGGGACCCTATTATAGACCCCAAAACACAATAATCCTTGTTATGGGGACGCCCCAAAATTGGTACCCTAAATTTTGGGAACCCCCCCCATATATATGTCCTGCCTCGTAGCATCCAAAGAACAATCTCTAAATCCTAAACTCCAAATCTTAGATTCCGAGCCCTAAATCCTGAACACTCCTAAGCCCTCAACCTTGACTACTGAATCCATCCTAAACCCTAAACCCTCAACCCTGAACCCTAAACCCTAAACCTTAACTACTGAATCCTAAGCCTATGCCTTGCAGATGCTTGTGGTGATCGTACCCATGGCCTTGGCCCCAGGAGCATTGTGCTTCTCTTTGTTGTTCTGAGGGTTTCAGGGTCTAGGGTTTAGGGGTTAAAGGTATAGGGATTACATGAGGAACGTGTAGGGCTTAATGGGGCTTAAGGGTTACAGTTTATACTTTCCCGAACTAACATGGACCCCAAAAGGGTCATGTAAAGGCTACTTTCCTTCAGAAAGGATGATGAACATGGTTCACTGTTAGGTTTGGCGGAGGGGATGTTTAAAATTCGTTTGTTTATCTGCTCCGCCTCAATGCGAATGCCTGAAGCTGTCATTTTTTCAGGTTTCGGGTTGATACATGACATACGAGTGTTTCGTCGGATGGGGACCCATATTGGGACCCAGAATGTTGCGAAGCTTCTGTTATTTCACGCATTGCACGAACCACATCAGAACTAATTTGCAGCCCCACATAATGAATCCCCTCCCCCCAATATTAAACCCCACCACCCGCTAATGCTAAATACTCCCCATTGTGGTATATTGAAATATCTTGGGAATATTCAATAACAGGGGAGGGGATTAGATTCTTTTGTAATTAAACGACCTTTCTTGTCGTTGCATGTCAGTTTGATGGGAGGGTGACATAGAAGCCTGGATCATTACCCATATTCTCCCCGCATAACCCTTTTCGACCTATGGTGTGATGTACCCCCAAGATGGCGACCCCACGTTTAATCCCACAGGGCCCTAAATGACACGCGTTGCCATGCCATTTTTCCAATTTGGTTGCTCACTGATTCGCTATTCGAGTATTTAGGCCGCTAAAGCCTAGAGCCTTTCTTATAAGGCTTGTCACATTTTGGGCTTTGGCGGCTCAAATCATTCCCAAACTGGTTTGAGGTGCCACTGGTTCTCATGGCCATCTGGACTCTCATTATCGCCATCGCTGTGGCACCTCGGCTTTGACTAGGTTGACGATTCGTCAAGTCGAAGCTCTTCTTCGAAAACTGGCAAGTTGTGAACATTTTAGGCTTTTGCGTTTGGGGTGCACAAAAAAGACGCTCTGAATTGATGACCTTGCAGGTTTTGTGGTGCCTTTTTATTTAACACCGGCTGCTTTCCGGAGAGGTCGTTTTGGTAACGTTCTTTTTCCAGAGAACCAAACTGTGTTCCTGTTCAGTTAGCTCCACTGGATGGACTAGACTGGCTTCATTGCTTTTCCTCGCTAGTCGCCGTAACAAGATCATTCACGACTTGGACGACGTGTAACTTGCAGCGCCTGACAAATCACCACCTGAAGAGGAGCTGAGCAAGCCAGTGAGTGGCCACACCGTCTGATCAGGTGCAAACTCCGTTCTGTTGAAGTATTGTAGAAGAAGAATGTTACCAAAATTGGTTCAGCCAACACAGGCGCTCCGCATATGTTTCTGCCTCCCAACCAGAGGCTAACCATTCAAGCTTCAGCACGCGCCCCCAAAGAAGCGACAGCCAAGATCTTGACGAACGGCAGGGACAGTGATGGGGGAGAGCAGCACTTTCCAAACTGCAGGGCTTCTGGTTTCCCAAAATTAGGGGCTACCTTCTGGGGGTTCCTATATTAAGGACTATGTATTTTGGAGTCTATGCCCGGGTCCCCTTATTGAGGAAAATTTTCCCAAATCAGAAGATGCAAAAAGAATCTCCAAATCCCAGATATCCCGGATTTTGCAGATCCTTCGGTACCCTAAACCCTAAACCCTAAACCCTAAGGAATGCCAAGGTGATCTCCTGGCAGAGTTCCAACCCCAAGGCGCGCCCCAAAGTCAGCTGACCTGGCGATGAGGGGTTTTGCTATCTATTCGGGCTCTCACTTAAGCTATACTCCCCCAACCCTAAACCCTAAACTTAAAGCATGCCAAGGGCGGGGTCTTGAGATCCTCTTGGCCTCCCAGAACCCTAAACCTTAAGGGTTTAGGGTTTAAGGTTTAGCGCAAACCTGAAACCCCAAACCCTAAACCAACCACACGGCGTAGAGTCCAGGCTTAGGCGATTTTGCCTCTGCGGTTGCTTTGGTGGCTTTAGTATGGTTCGTTTGTTTGGGTAGTTTAGGGTTTAGGCCTAGGGGTTTAGGGTTTAGGGTTCACGGCTTAGGGGTTTTAGGGTTTCGGTTAGGGCCGTCCTGGTAAAGATGTCTTAGCAGTCAGCATATGGGCGGTGGCAGTCTTTCTTATAACAAAGGCTTTAGTAGATCTGCCTAGCAGGAAGCACGTCCCAAATCTGCTTCATCATTACTGTACCACAATAGAGCCCGGCAATCCCCCAGCAAAACATGGATGTTGCTTTTGAAGCCCAGGGCCAGGTAGACGACAATCACAATAGTGCTAGTAATTATCATGATCAGGACGCATAAGCGTCTTGTCGAATCAGACAGACACTTTGCAAGATATTGTTGACTGTTGATTTGGGGCCAGAATAGCGAGGACGAGCTGGTACAACTATAAACAGTAGGAAGATCGTTTTGGAATCCTCCCGAGGCAAAGCTAAGGGGATGACTCACTCGTATGCATTGCTTGCTTGAGCTCGTGCGTCATGGAATCGTGAGGCTGCGAAACGAGCAGACGACCTGGTGATCGAGCCCAGCCCTTGCAAAGACCGTTTTAATTCTGGTTTGAGGTTTATAGGGGTTATATGAACTCATTACTGTCTATACTAGCCTACTTACGGGGCCCTTGACAGTGGACATAGGGGTCACTCTTGTAGTTTAGTGTAGTCCCTAGTATAGTCCCTAATAAGGAACCCATGTCGATTAAATTCTTTAAGGAATCTCGATTGTATCAGCTCATATGGTGCCTATTTAATGGATCATATAGGATCATCTAGGGGTTACATAAGGTTTTATAGGGGTCAAGAAGGGGTAGGATTGAGGTGCAGAGGTTGCGCCCTGGTTAGGGCTTAGGGCCTAAGGCGCAGTTTATGGCTTGAGAAAAACCACCCTAGACCCTAAACCCTAACCCATGCAGTTTAAGGGTTTAAGGTCTAGGGCTTCACGGGGACAAGAGCCTGCCCGATCAAGTGCTTGCAGGAAGCCTTTCACAGGGGATCCGGGTAGTTTGCCCGACGGTCCCCACATGAGCTATAGTCGAAACTCCTAGTATTCCGCGTACATAACTAGCCCTAGTATAGGGTTTAGGGTTTAGGGTCTAAACTCCTAGTATTCCCTCCAGTAACCCCTAAAAAATCAGACCATCCAATCTCTCATATAAAGCCCTGTAAGGAGTTTAGACTATAGCTCAGATAGTCTGCAGCGTCCAAGGCCTGTTCTTGAGGATCTTCAAGTAAGTTACAATAATTCGGGTACCCCGCTCGGTATTATGTGCCCATGTTATGGTGCCCTAAACCCTAAGCCCTCAACCCTAAACCCTCCACCCTCCCAAAACTGAGGTGCGGGTCCCCCATGACCTGCTGCTTGATGATGCTTGCAGTGCTGTTGGCCTGGTCCTCGTCGTAGGGTGCATGACTCAACCGGGGGTATTTTTCGAAATATGCTTGTTACCCTTGGTTCCTGTATGCAGCCATCAAGGTTTCATCTTTCATAGGACCCCCGAACCTACCCATAGCATCGTGGCCATCTGGGGCGCCAATGCCTCTAATCACAACCAGACTATGGCTATACAGGGAGCTAAGGCCCTAAACCCTAAACCCTAATCCTAACCCAGCAATAATCTGTTTAAATATGACACAGGAAGCTACAGAACCCGGGTAGATTCAAGATCACAGGGCATGGAAATTTGGAGTCTGGCAAAACTTGGTGGGACTTTACTACAGCTAGCCTTTATAACTTTTTCATTCTTTTGTTTCATATTGAGGGAGCTAAAAGTCAAACGTTTACTGAGGGAGTAAAGAGCAAATGAAAGGTTCAGTGCTGTGGCGTGCATGGGCCAGGGGCTCCGACTCTCTTTGAGGTCTTCGGCTCCTTTGCTTCACATCCCCAGGGACCCCAATAGCCCTTAAGTGAGGAGTAGGTCTGGAATCTTTGTAGGATCCTGGCATCATTAAAGGTATGTTCCATAGTTAAGGTACATTGGCCATTTAGGTCGTTGGTCACCAGTTGATATCCTTTTTGCGCGGCCCAGCTGTCCGTCTGGCAGAGCAAGAAGCATCCAGGCATGCGACTGACCGTCCAAAGCTAAGCACTATGACCTGCTGGAAGTGTAAAAGACGGGTTTTGGAATTCTAGGATACGGTTTAGGGTATAGGGTTTAGGCTCAGACGGTTCTGAAGTTCATAGGATAGCTGCTCCTAGTGGATGCGCAGTAGAACATGGCGGGCTGGCAAGCATTCTGCAAGTTTCGTCTTCGTAGCAGCACTGCATCCAAGAAAAAAACTAAGTATCCGTATATCACCCCTATAACCCCTGCATGACCCATCATAGTAGTTTCCATTTTCTTTTCCATTATCCCCATATAACCCCAATATAAGTGACTTCCCAAATTGTGCCCAGATAACAGGCCGTAGCAAAGGGTTTTGAGCTGATTGAAACATGTGGAGGCCCATGACTTGAGCAGGCTTTTGCAGTATGTCATACGTGAAGTACAGTATACTGGGATAGTATTTCTTGTGCAAGCTTCTGCATCAAATCACATCCCTTGAAACCCTGTTTAGGCCGAGTTCATGTACGAAATCCCCAAAGGCCCCGATCCGAAAATCCGCGCCCATGGCACAACTAGAGCCCAGACAGTCCGCGGTCTGCTTGAAAGATATTAGGGCAATATAGGGTAATAGTGGGATCATGGAAAAGACAACGGAAACGACTATAATGGGGTTGTATATGGTTTAGGGTTCAGGGTCTAGGGTTCTCAATCTTGAAAGATTCCAAGAACTCCTGCCCCTAAACTCTAAACCCTAAGCCCTGAACCCTAATCGAAATGTGCCTGGCGCTAGGCCTCTTCATACCTGTGGGTAGGGATACTGGTTGGCGGCGTTTGCCTCAACCTTGACGGCAATGCTGGGGCCCGAGGGTAAAGGGATAAGTTGCACAACAGTGAGTGGGGGTTTAAGTGTATTCTGCACTTCCTACACTCGAAGCCCTTCCAAAGCGTGCTCTTGTTGTGCAGCTTTGGCGACGAGTCAGCAGACTACTCTCCAAATCATTTCACGCACTCAATATGCTTCCATTCTAAAATAGGAATAGATCCTTATAGTAGTCTCCACATAACCCCCCAGCATAAACTGGCTTTCATTTCTCCTTTCCTTAAGCCCAACAGGGGGAGATGGCTGAGCCAGCTGAGGAGCTCGGGGAGCGGAAAGAACATGGAACCTGCTTTTTCAGGATTCGGGTTTAGGATAGGCCCAAGGCATTTCTGGGAACTGGAGACTCTTGAAAGCTCTGGAGGTCTTCGTTCAATACAACTCACATCCCATTATACTATGGTAGCTTCCATTTTCTTTTCCATTATCCCTATAAACCCCCAATATACTATTGTAGTTTCCATTTGATTTTCCACTATCCCAATATTACCCCGATATAGTGGGCTGAGGAGTTGGAGACTTCTCGTCTTCTCTCGCTTGGATGATTCTCAGTTTATGTCAAAAGCATCAATTCCTCCAGATGCTGTCTCTCAAAGCTTTCGAGAAACACAGCGGTGGACGAGATTCTGTGGTTGTCTTATCAAAAACGCGGCACCCCAGAGTTTTTGTGGATATGCTTTACGAAGCGCTCCTGTGCTGCGGTTGAATGGTAGCTGATTGACTCCAGATATCGAGACCAGCTTCATCTGTGTGTGACGGTCGGGCCGAATTATGACCAACGACTCTTGCCTCGTCTTGTGCGATGGCAACTTCTGAAGTCCCCGTGTATGTTGTACATAGCCCTTGGGCCCCAAGAGAACCCTTCTACAGAAGCTCGCATCTCATCATGTAAGGTTTCCACGCTGTGCAGGAAAGCTAATAGAAGCCCTGGTAGAACCTGGTGGCTGCAAGCTATGCGGGCGGTTGAGGGTTTAGGGTTTAGGGTGCGCTCGAGTTGAAAGCAGCGTTGTTATTAGCAGTTCAAACCTAAAGTGTTTCTGATGCTTACGATGCCAGAGAACACAAAAGCCTCTGGGAGTATACCTGCCTGGTTGACGTGAGACCTGCAATTGTAAGGAGCCTGATCAATAACCACTGTTATTTTCTGAAATCCCCTTTGACTATCGTAAAATGTTATAGTATGCCCTATATCCCGTAGTTGTAGGCCCTTGGACCCCAAATAGCCAAAGTAGAAGCTGATTCGTTCCTGAGGCCATAAGCCTGGTCCATGCAGCCCCGGCCCAAGTGACCATACGGCCAAGAGACACACTTGAGAAGTTGTTGAATCGTTTGTCTCTTCCTGTTTCTCTCTTATGAGGACAACCGTACGCATGGATGTGACAATCTTTCCAGCGTCTTGCAATGACAACAGGATACAGCCAGATCAGCTGCGCTGCACTGGTTGCAGCCATCTTGCATTTTAGCATGTTCTCTCCGATTCTATCAGATTCAACACCTCATCCCCAAACCCGAAGCCACAAAGCGTAAACAGATAAGACTACGTAGGTTTAGCCTGACTGCCTAGGTGAATTTCACGGAGCTGCCATGTCCTCAGGCGCAGTTCTAGCAGCGTGCTGGCCAACTTGCCCAGGGGTAGTTGAGCTTGGTTGAAATGTAGCATGGCCATAGGAATATCGTATTTTGAAGTTCATGGGTTGTTACACTTTAGTAGGAGTTTTATAGTTTCAATTTATGACAACCGCGTTTGGGCTACTGTTTCCAACCGCTGAGCCCTAAACCCTACATCCCATCCCCTGAACCCCAAACCCTATAAGCCTAAACCCCAAACCCCAAACCCTAAACCCCAAACCCTACACCCAGCAATTTTTGCTCAAGCTGCCATTTCCTGAAGCCTTTGTAAACCAACCCCATGCCTGCGTACAGATCTCGATGATCTGCTGAAATGAAAAGGAAGAAGAGAAGGCTCGCCCAGCCCTGAACCACAAAACCTTAACCCTAAACCCTAAACCGTAAATTCAGCCATTTTGGCTCAAGCTGCGATTTCCTGAAGCCTCGTGCCTGCGTACAGATCTCGATGATCTGCTGAAATGAAAAGGAAAAAGAGAAGGCTCGCCCAGCCTAGTATGAGACTCGACTCGAGTGAGCATTGGTAGCGCGGAGCAGATGTATGCTCAACATGGTTCGCCATGTTCACCTACACCCTTTGTGTGAGTGTAGACAGCAGCACCAGCACTCCTTTCGTGAATTTGAGACAGAGACGTACGCAAGTAGGTGCCACCTGGACCTGGAGCTACGATGCCCGCCTTGGGAATACGAGCTGCAAATACCAAAAGTGGCACACAAACCTGCAAGAGCGAGGAACCTCCGTTTCTTTTTCGCAGCCCTGAAATATGTCTTAAACCCATTCCCACTCCGGAGCTTGAGCCATGGTGGCACGCTAAGCCGCCAGAGAAGCAGCTGTGCGGCTGCGAGATCGCCAGCGCAGAGGCGGTGATCCAAGGAGGGCGGGGAAAGGGGCAGGCATGGATGTGGAAACTGCTGTGGGGAAACATGGCGAAAAGAGAGAGCCGCGAGAGTCGGCCAGCGCTCAAGCAGAGCGGCGCAGCGGCGCGACAATGGCGAATTAATTCTGGCCACCTTGCAGAGATTGCTTGAAGCCCGAATTAAGGAGATCCAGATGGCTACGAGTTAGAGCGCGCAATGGGGGCTTTGGAGCAAGCCATGGTCAAACGCATTGACGTCGTGAAGGGCGAGATGCATGAGCTGAAGCGCCGTTGTCCCAGCAGGATGCGAAGACGGACGACTTGCCAGGACCAATGAGGAGTTGACGGCAAGGGTGTAGCGCTTGGAGGCCAAAGGGAGCACATCGAGGTCAATGGCCCTAGGCAAGCAAGCGGACAGAAAGCAGGGCCTGGTCCTCGAGGGATGGGCATATGATATTCGCCGAGATGATCTCCTCAAGTACGTGCAGGAAAGGGTGTTCGTGATCCTCAGCTTTGAAAAACGGCAGTCTCCTTTGCGGATGTCAGGGAGCGCATGGGGTGCTCCTTGTATCAGGCGCTGAAAATGGAGCCAGGACTCAGATTGTGGGCAGGTGCCAATAAGGGCCCCCAAGGAAGACTTTTGGGCGGCCCGTGCTTCCCAGGTGAGAAAGGTCATCTACGCGCAGGCGAGCTACTTGATCGCTCAAGCAGAGACAGAACACAGCAGTGGAAGTGAATGGCTCGTGAATCAACATCAGCGCGTTTGCAAGAATGTTGAACAAGGGCCCGGAGACGATCGCTGCCTTTTGTGGCAGGAGTACATGGAGGCCTGAGCAGACAAGCAAGCGTGACTCCCTCCGGGAAAAACGTGGCAGGGTAGAGTTTGAACGCGCGGAAACATATTTATTTGACAAATGGGGATGGAGAACGGGCTGACTTTGTGATGCTGCAAGAGTGCCAAAGGCAGCAGGCAGGATGGAAGCCTGTAAAGGAAGCGGGTCGCTACATGCTCCTGCGCCATCAAGGGATGATGTCGTGGAGGGGAACAGCAATTGCAGTGGATGCACGCAAGGTTAATGTCCTGAAGAAGAAATCGTGTGACCGAGCCGTGTGGGTGCAAATTGGGGACAAAGCTACCGGGGAGAGAATGTGATTTGACTGCGTGTACCTGTCGACAGGCGTCCCACTGGATGAATACCAGATTCAGTGTAGAAGGACATGGTGATCGTAGCCGGGGACATGAGTGTCAGCGTGGGATGGGCTGAGGGAGATGGAGGAGAGCTTGTGCTTCGTGGATGGAAATTGGCTATGACTACGAGGAAACCTGCAGCTTGCCCATGTGAGTGGAAAGATCAGCATTCGCGAGGACAAATCTGCGCTGCGTGGGCTTCCCGCCCTGGCAGGTTCTGCGGTGGAGGTACATGTCAAGAGCCGGAAAGAAGTGGGAACGAACCACGAACGAATCAGCTTCTAAAGCACGGTGGAACCTCGCAAAGTGCTGGGCGCAGAAATCACCAGTGAGATTGGCCCCAGAGGCCATCAACCAAGAGGTGCTAGCAAGTCTTGCTACGTAACGCTGCGCCCCGGCCACTGGAACTACGTGATCGTGGTGGGTATTTGCCTCGGTGATCTCCGCGGTGGCAAGGGGGCAATAAAAGGCTCCCAGGCCAGACATGGGATCCTCCACTCAGCGGCCTTGCTTGGGCAGCGAATGACACTCCTTGCTCACGTAATGTTTGGCAGCGTGTTGGAGTTACTCATCCAACGATTGCGTCTCCAGAGCTCTGAATCAAGCACAGATGGAGTTCATGGTCAATGTGATGATGAGGTGGAAAAGAATTGGGTGGAATAGAGTTCCGTCAAAGAAAGGAGTTTTGATGGGACGAGACAGATATTGCGCAAGCTGTCCAGAGATCCTTGGAGTACAGCGCGCTTACAATTGGTGTGGAAATATGCAGGCGGCCGAGCGTGGAATGAAGGTAGCGAGAACCCGGGCGCAGCAGGGCTGCTAACGTGGTGCAGAACCTTAAGCTGGTGGCAGGCCCAGCAACAGATTACAACAGGAAAACGACGCAAGAGGCGACATTTCCCGCCACATGGGAAAACAGTGAGATTTGAAACTTGGCAGAGCTTGGGGAGTGGAGGGGGGCTGGATCTTGGCCGCCGGGCTAGGGTCTATTGGGCTGGTAAGGAATCCGCGCGGCTTTCGTGACCCGATGCGCTATAGGCCAGCGGAACACGACTGTCGAGGAACAGGACTTGGCCGAGAACGGCAAGGTCAACTGTGCCCGAGTCGGGTATGTCCCCGAAGCCATATAACACATGCAATGGAACCGACCAATAGTAGAACATGGAGTCTGGGAGTGCCTCAGCATGATGGACGTGCAGGACCACCGCCGATACCTGGAGAACGTGATTCGCCGCAAGACTATGGTTATGTCGTCGTCCATGTACAACCACGCCGAGACTAGGGCTACAGCGACTTTTATGAAGTACCGCGTCAACCTCCTGGAGAAAACAATCCACCGCAAGTAAAAGGTGCCGAACGAGTACGAGTACGTCGAGGAACCCGACCGAATCGACAACAGCAAGATCAAGCCGTCCCACACGTGGAGGACACGCAAGGAGAGTACAACATGGATGGCGACGAAGGGGATGTGATCAACCTCATGCAGACCAGACTTCGTTGGCTCCAGCATCTGCAGGCAGAGCTGGAAGACTTGCAAGGCCGGAATTAGGATCGGGAAGCACTGATGAACTTGCAATCACTCTTGGTAGCGTTTGCCTCGGAGGAGGTTGATGAAAGACACCCGGCCCGTGCAGATGACTTCAGTGAGAAATGGAGACGAAGGTTGGATGTGGTGTTGTGGCTGGGATCCAAGATGGTACAGGTTGAAAGCCAGGGTGAAGTGAACGATGGACTTTGTGCTAATGTGAGGCTGCAGATCGAAGTGGAGGCGCAGGCGAGAAGCCTACGGAAGAGAGCACGCTTGGCGCAAGAAGATGATGATCGCATCCTGGCGGAAGCTACTGAAAAGAGCATGACCAAAAGCTGCAAAGTGATGTGACGGAACCATGGATGGGACTGGCGTGTTTGTCAGGAATGCCGCTGCAACTTGTTGCTGTGAGAGGTGATGGCGTGGACGCAAGTAGGGGCAAGGTGGTGCGGTCTATGGGTGGCATGGTGGAGCTTAAGATCAAGATGAGCTGGATGGAGCAGGTGCGTGTCATGACCAGGGTGAAGATAGAGGTGGGCCGGTGAAGAAAGCAAACAAGCAAAATGGGGGTCAAGAACGAGGTAAAGATGGATATAAAGCTGAACGGGGGCAGGATCATGCAGGGACAAGGGCTTCTGAGCGTGGAGTAGATAGGTTCTTCAGACAGAGGGTTGGAAGGCACAACCCCGTGCAAAACCCTATGATGAGCCGGGCAGACATCAAAATCCGCAAGGTTGGCAAACTTTAAACTCTGAACAATACCGGTGTGTGGTGGGTAAATGTATGTAATGGCCAGACTTTCTGGCCATGGCAGCACGTTGCAAAGCATGATGTGTTTTATGCTTCAGCATTACATGACAGCAAACCCTATACCCTCCCAACCCAACTGCTTAAACCCTTAGCCCCACGCCCTACGCCCTGAACCCCCAACCTTAAACCTAAGGTCTCACTTTAAGTTCCACATTGACCCGGTTCTGGAGGGCGCTGTGAAGTACTACATCCGGGGCAGTCAGGACGCGGTTCTGCAGCAATGTAGCGGAAACGTGGAACCCCAAAACAAAGTCTGGGGGAAAGTATATGCTGATGGCCAGTAGAAGACGGAGAATTTGATTTTGTTGGTTAGTCCCCATACACGCCTTAGAACAATTTCCGTAGGCCTTTCCTTCATCCATACTGACCACCAGCAGTTTCAGGCCCTGAGGTTTAGGTCTCTTTTTCAAGCGGCAAGAAGGAGCTTCGGAACCACCAGTGATTCCGTGGAGTCGATGGAAGCCACGCGGTTTCTGGTTTAGGGTTTTGGCTATCCCCTTCCAGCTAACCTTAACCACAAGCAGGACCCTACACAGATTTTCTTCTCTTAACGGGCGCTACGGGAAGTGCCCCGAAGACAGTTTTTGGAATTCTGTTATCTGGAATCCGAAGGAACACTTGGAATTCTCCACCAAGGTGCTACGGAACTTTAGGACAACATGCAAGTCCATGTTACTTTGAGAAAGCACGTCTTTCCAGTGTTCCCCAAGTCCAAAAAGCCTGCAGCCTGCATCCAGAACATTTCCCAGAGGCATTAGGCTTTGAGACGTTGGGCTTAAGGTTTGGGTTTTAGCGTTTAGGGTGGCTGCGCCTTTTCGCAGGACCTTCATGCTTGATCCGTTGTGAACCAGTTGACCTTCGCATCCAATTTCAGCAAATGTCCATGTGTGCTCCGGCCTCTGTGCCGCCTGCCAGCACCAGGAGAATCCCATGATCTCCATGATTGAGGACGATGTCGCCAGTGCTCATGCTGTCATGTGGAAGAAGCTGTGACACATGCCTCTAAGCCTTGCAATGCCTTGCATAAGCCCTCTGGTCTCTGGTCCCCAGTCAGCCTCGTCCTAGGGGCAGTTTGGAACGCAAGGCGAAGATACTTGAATCTTGCCGCCCTACAACTCAATCAAGAGGATGTCGAGCGAGATGCCTCGGCACTTTACACCGCAACTCGGCTTCGGAAACCCGTTGGAAACGGGAAGTTGTGATACTGTGCTTCTTCTTCAGGGTCTGCCAGCCGGGGGTGTTCCGTTCCCACCGAGCAGCAGGCCATCGCTGCAAAGTTCCCTGTACTACCACCCCAGATATCCCCTTCATTAGGCGTGGGTAGGATTGAGTAAGCTTGAGGGGGAACCTTAGGTGTTAGTGTAGAAGGGCTAGTTATCAGAATGCGTAGCTATTGGAAATGAGTGCGCTGAAACGCACCTGGCTCGAATTCCCTCAAAGTATCTGCGGATAGCATCCCCCTTAACGGGCTTTCATTCTCTACTAACCACCAGCAAGTTTAGCCCTAAACCCTAATCCATATGTTTGTATATATATATATATATGTAAGCCTCCCAGTTTCCATTTTCTTTTTCCCCTAACCCTAAACCCTAAACCGTGTGGCTCATGTCCTACTAACTTTCTGCCAGCCCTCCCAGGTTTACACAAATGCAACCTGGGCCACCAAGCCAGCAGAGGCTCTGGGATGGGTAGAAGGGTTTAGCATTTAGGGTTAGAAGCCTTTGGCAGATAATGTCGGGGTCTAAACTGGGTTGACGTTAAGGAACTTGAATTAAGTTATCGTATCATGCGTATATAGCAAATAATAGGGCTTCCTTAGTATAGTAACTTAATTTAGGCTCCTTGACAGCAACGCAGTAAGTATGAGGTCGCTTCACAGTCCCATGTCAACTTTCTAAGGCTCAGCTCCACAATACTCATCCTGAGGAAACACTGGAGTTGGCTGGCACTATGTTATAGTATACTACATTTGTTTTACTACATTATACGGTATTATACTATACTTTATTATACGGTACTACATTAAAATATATTAAAGCTTGATGCAGGCCTCAAAAAAGCGGCGGAAAAACGCAGCGGACTTGATGGAGAAAAAGCACGCCATGGAAAACACGTTTTCAAGAAGCTGCACAGAGCTGGAATGCAAACCCTAGAAGCTCAAATCCTGAGAGAATTTTTGTGCCGAATCTTGAGAGTCTTAAATGCTACAACCTAAATGGTAGTTCCCCAAATTAGGGGGCCCCCAATTAAGACCCCAAACTACTATTATCCTCATTATGGGGACCCTCAAAGCAGTACCTCTAGTTTTGGGGAAAGTAGCAAATGTCTAGAACGAATCTTGGCCTTAGACCTTGGCCCCAAAGCTGCAGACCCTAGGGTTCAGAGTTTAGGGTTTAGGGTTTAGGGTAAACTCTGGACCATAGCCCCCCCGACCCAGAGCCCTTGACCCTGAAAGCCCAGAATTTCAAACAGAAGTCAACAGGAACCTCGTTCCTAGGTCCTCTTCATGGTGTGCCCTGACCCTAAGCCCTAAACCGTGTCAGATGGTGTGCAACGGCGTCAAAAACCTGAATGCCTCCAGAGCTCTTGCAGCATGTACCGAGTGTGGAGCCCAAGGAAGAAGGGTCCATCCAATTACAAGGATTGAGCATTTCGAGTTTTGTTTTTTTTTTTTGATTGGAGCCATAGTTTTCAGAACTAGCTATGTGAGTTCACGCAAGCAAAAGATGGGTTGAGCTTAAAGGTCCGTTGTGGGATGCCGCATGGAATTTCTGAGAACTATTGGCTGCTTTGTGGGGGTATGTAAATACATGTTACATGCGGGGTGTAAGGGGGACCCGATTTTGAGAATTCTCTCTGTCAGGTGGCAAGGTTTCCGCCAAGGATCCACTCTTAGGGTGCCTAGGCAGGATTCATTACCATTTGGGCTATAGTCTTAACTCCTTAAAGGGGATTATATAGAGAATCATTTAGGGGACGACTATAGTAGGGCTTATTGAGGGGGATACTGGGAGTTTCGACTATAGCTCACCCGCTAGACCCTAGAACCTTATCCAATGACCTTGACCCCTTAAGCTTCTTTCGGGGGCGGCTAGAAACCCAGGTCTGTCGGCTTCGCCAGAGAACTTCTATCTGCCAGGACCGCCTGAAAAGTTGATGACAAGGGAGCTAGAGTTTAGAGCTTCAGGTCTTGAATTTTGAGTGTAGCGTATAACCTTTGTGGTTCGGCTTTACGGCTAGCAGGCTGCCAAAGTCTTGGTACGTAATTTGTCCACATGTGGCCACGGAAGACCACCAGACGCACACCGGAAGAGGGTTTAGGGTTTAGGGGAGAGAAGGAGGTTAGGCTGAGTCACATGGCCAAAGCCCTAAACCTCCAAACCCTCAAGCCGGAAACCTCATACCACTAAACCCCCAACCCCTCCAAGCGCGAACGCAAGATGCTGCAGCTGGACCAGCCTGCTTCCTGTGCCCCTGCCAGCAACATCCACCCTTACTACAAGACGTTTGGGCACCAGCTGATGTGCGACAGGATGCGTGGGGTCCCAGCTTACTATCAGAGCTTTGGTAATCCCACCCTCCCAACCAAATTCGGATCTTGTGTTTCTGAATTGGTTCTTGGAGGATTGCGGTTGCCAAATTCTCTTATTACAGCTCGGGTTGGAATATGCTTACCTTGCTTTAGAGATTAAAGCAGAGGGTTAAAGGCTTAGGGTTTATGGCTTAGGGCCTGAGACCCTTATCCCCAAACCCTTAATCCTGAGTCCTAAGCCTCTGAGGCCCTCAGCCCCAAATCCTAAGGCTTAGACCTCTCCCAAATCCCAGGCCTAGGCCACCGAAGCCCTAAATCCTCGCCAACTTTTGGAAACCCTAAACACTGAATCCGAATCCTTTCCTATACCTCTACTGTATAACGCCCCATAGACCCTTCAAAGGGGCACCTAATAGTGTAATAGAGGAGCCGAAATAATTGCCAACATTGTGGTCTCATTGTGGTACAGGGTACCTCAACTAGACCTCAACATGATGTTGATAATTATCCAGGAGAACCCCTAGGAAACCCTATATACACTCAGTTTCCATTTTCTTCTTCATTTGATTCAGCATTGTGGGGTACTTATTTCCTCTACCTTTCCAAGGTGTTTCGTTTTGAAACTCTCCCAAAACTGCCCTGATTTGACCCCTCGCGGCTAGACGACATGGAAAGCAAAGGGAAACTAGGTAAAATTACAAGGAATTATGCAAGGATCAGAAACTTCCCGTATAAACCCGGCCTTCATTTCATGTTCCAGTTATCCATCTCCCTATGCCCTAAACCCTAAACCCTCTCTTCCACCAAATCGTCTTATGAGAAAACCTGCATACCTTAAGCTCTCAAGTCGAAAAGCTTTCTTACACCCGGGTCCCGCGCACGCTTAGAGTGAGTGAACCCAGAGACTTCTGAAAGGGATTCGTTTCGTGATCCACCCCCCCCCCCTCCCTCCCCCTAACCAAAAATCCTAAACCCTAAATCCGCAAACCTAAACCCTAAATCCTAAACCCAAAACCCTAAGTCCTAAACCCTAAAACCTACAATCCCGATATTTCTTTTGTCCATGCAGCACGGCCGCCAAGGCTTCAAGGCATGATCCTGCTCATCCTCCTATCCTCGGTGGGCACGGGGCTTTCTTGGTTTGCCAGTGGAGGTTTCTAGGGTTTGCGGGTTTAGGGGGTTTAGGGGTTTAGGGGGTTTAGAGGGTTTAGGGGGTTTATTCGAGGGTTTAGGGTTTAGGGCTTTCTTGGTTCGCCCGTGTTGGTGCCAATCGAACTATAGTGGAGTTTGGGGGCATGTTGTACTGCGTTTATATGGGCAGTTCCCAAATTCAGGGTCCCCTCCAGGTACCCCTAAATATTAGGTGCCGCAAAATATCTGTAAGCCAAGGAGGCCCATGATTTTGGGAACAACCCGCATACGGAGTATAACGGGTTGGTATTGGCAATTCGAAGGGCTTCTGAAGTATTTTTTGAGGCTTTGGCACCCTCACCCCCACCGTGCCTTGGGATCTTTATCCCAACAGAAGTACATCATCTCAGAAACTCCTGTCTGAACCGCCAAAGGATCGAACGGCGTGTTCAAACGTTTGAAGTGCTCTTCCGGATGATGAAATGTCATAGGAGGTGTCGTTTGCGATCAGGGTTCAGTCAGGGTTTGGGATTGAGGTTTGGGTTGAGGGTCTGAGGCTGAGCCAGTTTGTATTTTGAGTTCACCTTGTACATCCCCCATGTGCTCCTTTCTGCGAGCATCATGGCTCTCGAGATCTACGCGTGGGATTTAAGATCCAGACGTTTCAGGCATCCAACAGGATAACCCAGGCCTGGTCAGCAACACTTTTTCGAAAATCGGCCGAGATCGGCCGCGAGTGGAGCCATGAGTTCATCGGGAGTCACAGACTGCTGCATGGAGCGCCGAGTGACCGCTCGATTTGCTTGATGGCGCCAACGCAACCTCAGCCAATAGAGCAAGGCGTATATACACGTAGAAAAAAATTCCTTTGTATTATGGTACCCAGAAATGCTATGATCCTTATTCTGGGACCTCCCCAAAAATGGACCCCCGAGTCTTGCAACTGCCAGAAGAGGGCTTCGGGATTGTTCTGTTGGCTTCTGTGGGAACATGAAGTTCAGAGTCGCCCAAGTCATGGACACGCAGAGAGATACAAATTCTAAACCCAGAGATATAGCTGAAACCCTTTTTGTGGTAGGTGGTGAGCATCATCCTCATGCCGCTTGTCGCCATTTGCGCGGACATGGACCTCAGGCGACAGCTAAAGCTAAGCCTAACAGGTGTAGGATAAACCCAACTAGAATCGGGTAGCTTCACATAGTCTATTCTGATTACTGTTATGAGTAGCACTCGTGTCTTTTAATACACCCGCCTAGAGACTCAGGGGGTGTAGGGTTTAGTGGGAGTTTGAGGATTCAGGGCGAAGGCGCTGCGCTCTGAAATTAATCCCTTCAATTTTCTCATCATCTCCTATATGTTATAAGTGGAATCCTTATTGTTGGGTGTAGGAGTCGGAGAGGACTGGAGTTTGATATCTCTCAGTTGTGGAGCCATGAAGTTCTCGTAGTCAGGCAGTCAGACTTTCTAGGGTCAGGCGCATTTCGCTGAAGGCTCCCCTCGTGGACCTCATGACTTCGGAAACTACCATATGCAGCTGGACACGTGGTCTAGCGTGCTTAGACCAGGATGATTTGGTTACTGGCCAACCTGTTACCACAGTCTGTGACGCTCCGCTGGTGGATCAACTGGATGTGTAGGTTGCTCAAGATTCCCCTATAGTAACGGGGAATGAACACCAACCCGTGTGGTTAGGTAACGAATGATGCCAAAGACTTATAGGAAGACTTCAATGAGTTTTCGACAAGCATAGAAGGATATGTTTTGGAAGGAGTAACAGAAGAAATTGTATGGACTCAGCAAAATCCTGTAGAGGAATGAGTTAGAATATCATAGAGGGGGCTGTCGTAGGTCTGGATTTTTTGAGTTCCCAGTATCATACGGCTATAAAGGATACCGCAAAAGGGACCATAACTTCTGACAACCTACCATGTGGAGGTTTCTACAAGGTATGAAAAAGAACCAACCGGCGCCCCCCCAATACGTTGTGGTGAGGGCTGCGGCGGGGGGTTGAGGATACTATGGGAGGGGGGCGCAGAATGCACAAGTACCCTAAACCCTAAACCCTGAACCTTAAACCCTGTTCTACAGGGAGTCCGTGTCCAGTAGATCTCCTGATATTTTGTATACCGGGAATGTCAAAAAATTGGGGTACCTGTCAGGTGTCTCTTTTTGGGGTTGTCAGGGTTTTTTGACTTTATACCCTAAACCCTAAACCCTAAACCCTAGGGTATCTGATTTCTGGCAACTACTCTTTGGGCCTCCGTTCCTAAGGTGCCCAACTTTTGGTTGCTCTAGCATCCCTGAGAGGGCAAGGTCCCAAACCTTGCAGAAAGATGACTGAGGGTTTAGGGGCTTAGGGTTTAGGGTTGAGGGTTTAGGGTTTAAGGGTTTAGGGTTTAGGGCTTAGGGTTTAGGGTTTAGGGGCTTAGAACCCTAAACCCTAA